GTAATGATGAAAATGAACAACTGGTATCGCAGAAGAGTCCATAAGAGCATAAGGAGAATCTCTGCATAATGAGGATATTGTGACATTGTGGATGCTACAGGTGCAAATTTATTCTACCCGTTGTCATAGTAAATTTTAAAAGTGATGAGCCATAGAGAAGAGCATTCAGACAAGAAGAACTGATCGTATGGAATAATTTATTAACACATCGTGATATACAAACCATAGACATCACAGAAATCAGCATACAATTACACTTATGTTATATGTAAGTAGAAAATAACAATTACTAAGTATTGAATAAGTCTAATGCTATAAACAGTCATTAGTACTCACAGAAAAATGAAGAGTTCCAACAGGATTGAAATCGTTACTCAATGTAGTTTAGTATCAAGTGAAATCTCCCATAATACTTGTACGTATTGCAATAAATATAAACATATTTAAGTCGAATATGATCCAAATATTGTTAAAACTAACCGAAACTCCGTTAATCATTGATAGTGTATTACGCAAATCATACAATACAATTGTTTTCTATCAAATGTATGAAATCATTATTTTACAAGGTTAATAAGAGTGTAATGAAGAAATATTGAATTACACATACGATTACATACAGTAAAATTTGACAAATAATCTAGTATATCAACCATCATATTATATGTGAAAAATAAATAAATAGGAAGGTGGAGAAATAAAGCTGAGAACAGAAATGAAATTTCAACAAAAACGAAAGTAAAAGTTTGAGAAACATTATACACTAGCAGTGACAACAAGAATTTTTGTAAGACTTTCATTCATGATGCATAGCGCTTTAAGATACATGAATAATATTCGGTATTCAATTGGATGTTATTCAGATATATAGTTAACAGTAATGAAAAATCATTCAAATTATATTTAATTAACTAGTAAACAGTTATCAAAAATTGAAAATGTCGATTTGCATTGGGGAAAAAAGCACTCAAAATAAATTATTAATTAAACAAGCAATAATAGAAATTAAGTAGTTTATCACATTATTATGAAAAATTATTTACGCAATTAATAACCAAGCAATAAAAAATATAGCAATAAATAAACATATTTTTGACATTGTTTCTGAGTCAGCTCCCCAAAAATTGTCTGGTGGTATTGCTCGGTTGCTGACGCCATTACCATTGTGTGAATTTGCAGGATTGCTATTACCTCCTAAATTGAATGTTGTTGACAAGAAACCGAATGGAAATGCACCAATGCCGACAGACATTCGGAAATTACCTCCATCAGACCCACCAAACAATCCTCCCCATGTACTTCCAAAGCTTCCAACCCCCGGTTCTGGTTCAGTACGTCGACCAGCTGGGCGGGGAGGAATTTTGGTACGAGGGTCTTGTGTATGGTCCGCACCACGTCCATAAAGGGGGATGACCTAATGAAGAAAATTGAATAGAAATATTGTAATTTGATTACGGAAATTACTGTACAATTCTTCATATTTGAGTAAAGGAAGAACAAGGATCATGTATTCTACTCCGTGGCTTGTAACACACAAACAGGTACTGAAAACGAAATAAGTATAAACCATATTAGAAAGTTATTGAATAAAGCTGAGAATAATAAGAGACAATAATTGTAAGAGAATTAAAAATTGCCTAAACGCTCGCTTGTAGGGATAACCAAGAAGATAAAAGTGAAAATATCATGGAAACAATTTTCTTTCGAAGTAGAAGATATATGGCAAAGATTACGTAAAACCTGGAAAATATAGAATTTTTGAGTAAAGCTCAGAAATACAGAATACGGAATGAGAAATCACAATTAGGATAATGGAAATGTTACGCAAGACTTTTCCATAGATGTGATGACTGATGAAAAATGACTAACTGTTCGGGGACTTTTAACCTATTTCGTTTCATTAAATATAAACGATTAGTGTTGGTTGTTGCCGACATAGATAAATATAAGTTACCTGAATTTGGTTACTGTGTCTTTTTTCTGAAACGATGTGGGACTTACATCATGGGTGGAAATTCTAATATTGTTTGTGACTGGAATTAATTTGAAATATTTATTTAGTTTATGAAACAAGCTTTTCGATTATAGTGAGATATGAAGATATTATTTTGCTACTGAAAAACGTAGTAGTAGTCCGATTCTAAATGTAAAATTAATTTATATGGAAGGGCCCATGACGAGTTATAATTTTATCAGCTCAGTAGATTATTAAAAGAAATAATCAAGCTATTCTGAAGCTCATATTAAAATACATGAAAGCACCAAACAATTTGGAAATAAACAGAAGAACCAGTAGAATGAATGAGTGAACAAAAAAAAGTGCTAAGCAGAAAGATATACATTTCAAAATATTTCTTCAAACGAATAAAATTTAGAAATTGAAATACCAAGACTAATTTTAATGTCGTTTTTATGCGACTCGGGGTATTAGGAAATGATGGTAGATCAGATGCTGAGGTTGTGAATCTTTATCGACTGAGATGGTTGGGCCACGTGTTGCGTATGCTTGAACACCGATTACCACGACGCGCAATGCTAACAAGTGTTGAAGAAAGTTAGGGGCGGCCAAATCTAAACGTAGCATCAGTCCATAACATCACTGACTTCATGCCTGAGCCATGTTGGTAAATGCAGACTACTTGTTTGGGGTCTGCGAGGCTATCGTAACCAACGGTTGGAGACTCTGTGCGACATTGCTTAGAATCAATCACAATTGTTTAGGTGTATGCACTCTCTGTTTTCCCTTAAACTAAGAGATTAAAATTGCTTCATATCTTTCATTCTGCGAACTAATTCTTTCTTCCTGTACTATGTCCTTATATGCAATCTTTCTTTTATATACTACCACCATTGAATTAACTACTTTTATGAATTCGGTGTTCATCTTGATGTATCAATGCGGTATGGCAACTTAGACTGATGCATATATGTGCCTGGTCCTACGTTGTAGCTGACTGACACGAAGCATCAATAAACATATAGTGTTTAAAAAAAGTAGACTACCAAACATAAGAATTCGTAGATTTAAGGAATATGAACGACTTAGAACATTAATAGTGACGGCAAAATTGCTTATCGTATAAAATTACTTTTAATAAGTTACTGTAGTAGAAAATCAGAACTCACTTTATCACTACTGATAGCAGCCTTGCAAACAGGGCATACCGTGCGGGTTTCAGAAGTTTCAAGCCAACGATGGAGACATGGCCAACAAAATAAATGGCCGCACATGCTAACTACCGCATCTCGAGCTGAATCAAGACATATATTACACTCAAAAGATCCCGTTGTCCCATTACTATCAGTGGTCTCGGATGTGTTAGGTTGATTTGACTTATCAGGGTTGCTTTTAGGTATATTTGACTTCGAGGTAGAGGCGGCTGTCGATGTTTCCATTTATCCTTGTTCGTTAGTTGTGTAATAATTTACCTAAAAGAACATCCTGAACATCAAAAGAAAATAGGAAAACTACAGTAGAAATTATAATAATCTCAATGTCAGTTACAGAAAATTAAAATGATTTACTGTACATATAGCAAAATCATATATATTAAGGATGTGACAAAAGGTGTTCTCTAGAGCTTAGCGGAACTGTCATGGTGATATTTATTTGACGCATTGTGATAACAGCTGGAACAGAGAAAAAAAGAGAATCCTGCTAAATTTAGTTATACACAGCATCATGACACTTCATGAGATAATAAATTCAAGTAGAATTAAGATGAAACCCTTGTTCATTAATTCACTTACAGACCTAAACAATTTGAAATAAAACACCAAAAGAATCTCAATGAGTTGCTGATTAGTTTAAAATATTGTTTCTTTAGATTTATTAATTGGTACAAATTAACAGTACATCGTATTGCTGATGAACTATATATATAAGGTCAATATAAGGAAACGAATGATAGCTAGTAATGGGGTTTGAAACCTTCGGAACTGAGGTATTCACAAGGAATTGATATGTGCAATTAATTCTAAAAGTTTATAAGCTATATAATTGAATTTAAACTATAAAATACACCAGTACGAAAAAACTGAATGTTATGAAATCTTGAAGTGACATACTATTTTTTATTATTTCAATTATGAAAAATTGACTCTATGATGCTCATGTACTTCTTTAACTAGCACAAATGAACACAGAACGGTTGCACACGACTCACTACACATAGATTAAAGACAGTTACATAAAAACAATTTGAAGTTAAATATTTGACTTTAAAATAAATAACCTGTTTACTGATTCATGATGAAGGGAAAAAAATCTGGATCTTGATATTTCCTGTAATTCAATGAGCATGGCTATATTGAAAAATACCTTAAATTATTTTGGCAAATGATAAGAAATATAGTGGATAACTAGTCAATTATATAATTATTATTAATTTTTCCCACTAAAACAATAGCTTAGTGATTATATAACACTCCATTTTTATATTTACTACATTATTGGCTAGAGCTATGTGGACAACATCGTCATTTCACATAGAAATTTTCGTTTAAAATCAAATATATGAATAAATTTTTGTAAACCGATTTACATTACTATTTCTGATTTTTGTGACAGAGGAATTACTACTTATAAAAGCATTTATAAGATTTTTATAGTATGAGTTGACGCTTTCGTTAACCGTTATTATCAAGCAATTTTCACAATCCATTCTGGTCGTTGACCTTAAAGTTTTGCATCTTAATCAAATCACATCAATGGTAAAAATGATGAAACATTATAGACTTCTTATAGAATTTGTTGTGAAGTTTAGGAAAATAATTGTACGTAAACAAAGCTGTGTTAATGATTTGTACAGATAATATTTCAAGATTAGTTATTATACACATAAAAGTATACTGGTTTGTAGAAAAATATGGTTAAAAAGTGCAAATTAAATTTGACAAGCCTCAGTAAAAAATCAAACAACATTACGTTCGGAAAAATGAGTGACAAAAAAGACAAAGAACAGTAACCAAAAAATATGTATATTTTTATTATTTTTTTTCTCCAACATACTACTATTGAAATTAATACAACTGTTAGAGAAATTACAAGTCACAGATTACAAATGCACATTTTCAGCAACAAGACACATCTCAGAATTTTGTTAAAAATAAAGGATATTGGCCAAGTTGAAATATTAATTCGTTAAGGTGAAGAATTTGAATTCTGAACAGACACTATTTCATGGGTTCTAGACTGATATACGGCTAATTCAGTTGTTATATTTTGAAGACAAGACGATTTTACACGAAGACCAGCTGCAATTCGATTGAAACTTTTCTCGTAGACGTTACTGAGCTCTTCAAAAGCACAATTAGGTGGTCTTAGCACAGGATACTAAAAAGCAGGCACAATAACAAACAACATATTTAATATGATACTTAGGTGTAATTATTCACATATAGTTCTGTAGATATCAGACGTAAGGTATGAAAAGTCATAAAAATTATTCACGAATAAATAAATTGCATTTCGACACAAAACAAAAACAAAATGTGGAAATCGACTTCCTCTTTTTTTATTATTAATTATTGATAAAAGTGAATTAGACTAGTGATTTATCTACCATTTTATTAAATTACGATCATAAGTTTAAGCAAACTGAAATCGGATGCTTGATCAATATTAATTCTTAGCTTCTGTGTAAATCGACAAACGTCATCGCCGGATAAAATAAATATTGAACTAAACACTATAATCCGAGTACATATTTACTGGAGAACGGAGAAACGGCAAGGAAAATTACGGTTTTCAGGGAAGTATTATCTTTATCGTTCGGTATCATAAATATAAACTGATATTTGAAATAGCAGTCAACTGTGAATAAGTCTCTGCATACAGGAACCAATCAAGATTTGTCCCCTATAATCTATGATTATATGTGCTATTGCTCAATTCAAAAACATAATTTAATTAGAATTTAATGATTACTAAACAACTAACACTATGATATACTGTGAATAAATTTTTAAAAAAAACAATTTCACAACCTGTACTAAGAAATCTTCAGACAGAACATGTGTACAAGCATTTGAAGCAATCAATTGAAATTCTTTACATGAAACATCATGACACCAAGTAGACCAACAATCGGTAACCTCTATCAATTGATCAGTAATAGTTACCAATTTCGTTGTAGTATAGTATAAACCAACAGCGAAATTGTCTAACAAACTGAGAATTGGAGAATGATTTGAATTAGTGTTTATTACTTTATCTTTTTTATTCTTTCTCTTTTGATATTTATTTATTTCATGATGATAATGACTAAAATAGAATGAAAAACAGAGTATAACGCACCGTTGAAAATTACAATTATTCATAAAAGCATATTTCAGGAGCATTTATTAAGATTTAGACTAACATAATCCATATTACTTGATATAAACGCAGTTCAGATATGATAAATATTTATAGCTTCACAAACTACATTTAAGTAATCATTATCATTAAAAAATACACGGATAATAGTAAATTGTAAAAATGTAAGAGCTTAACAAATGAAATTATAGGTGGATATGAGGAATAATTTATTTGACTTCGGTTATATGAAACTGAATTAACTAGTAGTGCAAAGTAAAGTGGAAAATTTATATAGTTTGCTGCATGAAGTAAAATTATTGTGAAATAAAATTGTGAAACGATGATGAATGAAATTTCACAATATTTTCAAAACAAGACCAATAATAAATTATGTAAAAAAACTTAGAAAATATTCCATCACATCAGCGAAATAAGAAGGCATTAACAAGATAAAAAAAGGGAATGCAAATGACATTACATACGAAAGTAGACAAACAAACGTATAAAGTGTACTTTAGAAGGATGAATTAAAATTGAGAATTTAAAATATCAATGATAATATAGGGTTCAAAGTTTATGGAGAAAGAAAGGAGGAATGCATTGTATCAATGCTACTCATTTGAGTCATACCACTAAAGGTCATCCAAAAGATTATCTTTAGGAAACGAAGTCTTCAAACTGCAGTCGCACCAGACTATTACTTTTATTCGCTTGCTTGACCAAAATGTTGAAAGCTTTACATAACTGTATATCTGATTCGCTAAGTCTACGATCACCAGATACTTTTATTATTAGATTAGAAACTATGGAAGAAAGCCAGAAAGCTTATGCTTGAACATTCGTTTGTTGAGACCGTAATCAGTGAGAGCTTAGATAAAGACTATGAATACAGAACAGGATTGTTGCAACTGACGTGGATTATATGATTATAATTAACACTAAACTATGTAATGAAGAATTTATTTTTAGGAAATTTAAACAAGAAACTAAGCTAATAATCACGATACTTTTTACTTGAGTGAGTGACAACTGAAGATACAATTTGTTGACTTCGCACATTTTAAACCATAATTTCAGTAGCGAAAATCGATTTGAAAAATGACCTTCTATAATCCATTACTCGATTGTAAGAAATGTTGATCACTCGTTGGAAGAAATTTGATGTAATCTCGTTTAGAAATTTGAAATTTACTCGTAGTCTAACTACTCTTTAATTGACCTACTTACCATTGGTGAAATCATCAGATAAAATGTTCGGTTGAACCGCCAGGATAAACTAAGATGATAACTGTGATAATATGTTATCTACACTCGGGGTTGATGCATACTTCAGATTTAAAACCAGTAAAATTATGTGACATATAAGCATAATTCGTGTATTAAAGAATTTGTTTCATGTAATGATAAATAATATGTGTTTAAATTTACCTCCTAGGACGTAAGGCACTTTGAATCATTGATACTAGCAAAGTTGCCAAAGAAATACTTTCATAAAACATTGTCAGGATTAACAAAACACCACCAGGATGAACAAAATCGTTATCACTAGAAATCCCGTTAGGCAAATGTTCGTCTTTTGGTGAAGATAGTAAAGAAGTATTTATAGCTGGATAAACCTTTGGTATGTCTGTATCTTCAGAAGTAAGCTGTCCAGACAAAAAGGATTCATACAAGGACTGAAGAAGATAGTCCATGGATTTCTTAGTAAAAGCAGCTAAATGTAACAAACATGAAGAACAGTTTTAATAAAGTTTATTTATTGGTAACAGATTAATAGAACTGTTCTCAATTTTGCAATGAAACTATTGTGACTTACAGAGGTTTTGGGAAACCAGACCATGAAGTCCTAATATAAGTTCAATACCGATAGATAAAACCCTTCGGTATGGTCCGTAGCAATATAATGAAGCGGATGATACATCTGGCAAATCAGGGAATGTTTTGAGTATTTGATCACGTTTTACCATAACACTCCATGACTAATAGAGGAAAGAAATAGGGACAACATAAAGTGATTCTTGTAAAGGGACAACAATGGGAGGAATCAGATATGAAACTCTAATAAATTTTTATTTCAGTATTACCTTTGAATTACATCTTTGTTTTAGACCAATAGACATAAACGTATGACCCAGCTCAGAGTACGTCATAGTGGCTTAAATGCATTTACTGTTAATCTTCCTCTAAATTTTGACCAGTAAATCATCTCAAACTTTTCATCTAATCCCATTTCTGAATACTATGTTGCTTTTCATCTGGTTAATTTCTTCTTGATTATTCTGATCTAAGAAGCAACTAAGGTCGATTCATACTTGTGCCACGTCTTTGTTGTTTATAATTAACTATTAGTGCAAATATGAACCTCACAAATTAGTCACATATCATACCAGTACATCAAGACAAAATCAGGAGAAAAACCAAAGGAGTGGATGTAAAAATATCAACAGCATAAAACAGGTAACAACTTTTGAATAATATGTTCAAAACTTTCAGGAAGTTGATTGATGAATGTTCGTGAACTAATACGACTGATTTACTCAATGTACTTAACAATAGTTTAGTTATCTGGAGAATGCTGACTAAAGTGTCTACCTACCGACATGGCTCAGATCAATAATTAATTGTAGAATGTCTTGGTTTAACCAACATTAGTACTTTAAACTAATTCGGAAAAAATTATTCCACCACTGTGAGATTATCTATGACAAATTAAATAAAAATAGGGAAGCACACAGACCTGATGAACACCACTCAACGTAACCAGTTCAAATGAATCGGTCACGGGGTCGGATTCGACTGTGTTAGAGTGAAAAACATTCAGTACGTTTATTTAAGCCCTCAATACAACTTTATGTCATCAGGCATATTCGACTGGATTAGAACGTGGTCTTCACATTAAAGAACATGTTCACGGATAGTGAATAAGTTTACAGCACAGTAAGGATTTAGTCGATAAATTGATATTTTATACTTAGGTTTTTTGGTTTAGTGTTCCTGAGTTCCAGTTATAAGGGATTGGGTCGATATTTTAGGAAACATGATGATCATATTCATTTTTTTGGGATTACACAACAATCAAAGACCAATGGACAGACGTACAGTCGTTGTACTGTTAGGGATGCTAGACTTTCATTCTCTTTGCCGGTTTTGGTTGATATCTTAGGGGCGGCCAAACCAAAACATGGCGTCAGTGCTTGAAGTCACTAACGTCTAGTCTGAGCCATGTTGGTAAATGCAGACTACTTGGTTGTGGTCCGCGTGACAATCGTAACCAATGGTTGGAGACTTTTGGTGTCATGGTTCAGAATCAATCACAATTGTGTAGGTGTATGCACTCTCTGTTTCCCTTAAACTAAGAGATTAAAATTGCTTCATATCTTTCATTCTGTGAACTAATTCTTTCTTCCTGTACTATGTCCTTATATGCAATCTTTCTTTTATATGCTACCACCTCTGAATTAACTACTTTTATGAATTCGGTGTTCATCTTGTTGTGTTAATGAGGTATGGCGACTTGGACCGATGCATATATGTGCCTGGTCCTACGTTGTAGCTGACTGACTGACTATAATTAACATTGTAATCTTTTCAAACGTAGCATGTACAAAGACTATCTTTAAACTCTAACACAATATTCGTAAACTGAAAGGTTGGTAAAGAAAAATGAGAATAGCATGATGAAATGTACAATTTTTTGTACTGTGTAATATGTTAGTAATGCTGAATTCCTATCCAAGATAGATATTTACTAAAGAGTTCACATACACTACAAATTGTGTTTACAGGAGCTAGTGTGTATCGTGATAAAATTGTCATTTAGCTGAACTAACCAAAATTAAACATAGCAACAAAAAAGTCTAACGATATGACATTCATGAAACAAAACGAACTAGTAATTTAAAATTGCTTAATTCTCTTGTAGATGGTTCTTTGGTATGTGAATCCAGATCATTCATTGTCGATAGCAGACTGTTTAAAATTTTGACAGATTCTGGTGGTACGTTCTCTGCAATTTCATGCTGACTTTCGGAAATCATATAATGCTCAACTTTTACAATTGACATTACAAGGGAAGTTGCATTGACAATAGCATTTAGAGTTAAACAACGGAGATTTAACCATGATTTCTGAAAAAAATACAGAAATAAGAGATACGTTGAAACAGCAAAATAGTATGATATAAAGTAAGACAAAGGGATAAGAACAAGTTTGCACGTTTTATAATGCTAAATATAAGTGATAATTATTGGTTAAATCATAAGCATGAAATTTCACCAGACTATTAATTCAAAAAATATAGAAACTATACGACGATTACCAGCATCATGTAGTGAGGTAAGTAAAAGAAATTTCGGAATCGTTCAAAATTTACACATTTATGTTCTGACGATGATACGCAAGGAGCCACAAAGTGAGGTGTGATTAAAGCGAGAAATGAACGCCAAATGAATAATTAAGACAACACAGTCCTGCTGTAAGGAGTCCCTTGAAGGAAGATTTGATTCTGTCTTAAAGAAGAAATAAGTATGGCCACAGAAAAACTATAATCACAAGTCAATGGACTTGGAAGAGAAAAGGAACTATGCAATGGTAAAGGTGTGAAGTGGCGCAACTGAACCGAGTGAAGAAGATTAAAAAGAGTTAATCTTAACATATCACAAAGTGTATATTCAAAACCCATTAAAAATTGTCAATTATTATAGTAAGCCAGAAAACTAGATATCTTCGACAACAGTGAACAGATGTGTACATTAGTGAAATTAATTGATTAAAAGATTGATAACTACTGATTTCTGACATTAATAAGAAATAAATGCTGGAAAGTAATTATTTGAAAATGGCTCGAAAAGATAAACATAGTAAGGAAACCAAAGGCTTATGAATAAATAAGAAGATTAGTTAGCTTACCAAATGGTCAAATGACAATCGAACGTTTTCAACTCGTTCATATCTAATAAAAAATGAGTTAGAAATCCCGTAAAATACTTCACTTACTGATCAAAGTTCGGTGTGACTGAGAAGTCCCGGCAATCAACAATCATCGGAAGTTGTTTTGTAACTAAGAGTTTATGGAAAAATAGTATAAACAATTAGACTCATACAAATAGACACTTAAAAAGTGTTCATAGGAAAATCAATTGGCATGTTTAATAAGCAAGTTTTATCTACTTACCATTATCAATACTAATTTGAGCCTGACCGAGTTGCTCAAGAAGTGTATCAAAGCTGAAAGTAAAATACAAAATTTAAGCCAACACTGTAAAAATCAACATAAAAAACAGATGATTTATCTATTTAAAACAGATTTTGGTACAATAGGACACGAAAAAAATCCGCCACACACATGAATTAATAATATTGTGACGAAATAAGGGAAGGGTAATACACTCAATAAATGAGTAAGAATAGTGTCCAAAAACGATTACGAAAGTTTTCTTTGGGTTAAGCAAGTTTACCTTATTTTTATGAATGCAAAATAAAACTACAGCGGAATCATAGTCGGATTCTATTCTGAGTCATATCTAATAACGTACTTAGCCCAATAATTCGGATGATTCTAAAGGACTCACGCAGAGGGTCGTGATGAACTAGTAGATGCCAGTTCCATATTTATTTCCTATATCATGGTGACCTATCATCAACTGACCATCTTCTCGTCTCTTCATCTAGTTCGAGCGTCGATAAATAATTCATTAAGTAGAAGTTAATGGGATGATATTCGTAAACCATATCCAAGCTATGGAATCTAGTGTTTCAAACTGTCACATCAACTGAGTTATCGTCATTGAGTGAAACATATTACCGAAACTCAGCACCACTAAAATGGTGTTGCCACCAGGTCTCAGGAATCCTTTGGAGAAAAAGACCACTGAACATGGTTAGACATTGAACATTCTCAACCTGAAAAAGCCAGGTTTTACGAGTGTACCATAGATCTGTTCTTACCAAACCTTTTATAGTCAGATTAACATCACGATGGCGGCAAAAGTGGCCTACATCGACATACGCCGCTTTGGCTTTCAGTACATGTGCACTGACATCGCCAGTTACGACACTACTAGCTATTGTACAACTATCCAGATGCACGAACTGGTTTTTTACAGGTACTTAATGTTTTAAAGGTGAGAACTATATGCTGCACTTACGAACATTGATTGAGAGCTGATTAAATGAGGTTTGGACAGCTTATGCACTATCGTGAAGTCAGACAATGTTTTTCTCCAGATGACAAATTCACACTTACCACATACTTCCTTCATATCTGTTTCTAATACACCCTCGATGGAAATGTTGAAGAGGAATAGTAAGAGATGACAACACCATCTAACTCTACTATTCATATGGGACAATGTAGGGAGATGGTTGTATGCCCTTAATATGTCTGAGGCGTTTGTATACAGATTTATCATAAGCTCCCCAACCACTCCTTGAACAGACAATCCCAGAAAAGTCATATCTAACGAACTGAAGGCACCCTTGATATCAAGAAATGATTATTGTTCTGTAATAAATGTGGTAGTGTCCGAACGTATGCCAGAGAGTGGAGGTGATAAAAGCATTCACAATCGGAAAGAAAGGCAGTCTGCTTGTGGCGAGTAAGCTCTTCACGAGTTTTGCACATATTCTGTGGAATATGACGGATGATAATAGTTTAAGTAACGGAAGTTATATTTATAATCTTATACCTGGTACCAACGTAACATGGTTTTGATATTAAGTCTACCCTACCATGGATTAAAATATATTACAATAAATTACAATTCCTCCTACTTCCTGAAGAGAAAAGAAGTGCAAAAGAGGACTTCTTGCGTCTGAAATTTGGGTAAATCTTACGAATATTAATGAACTATCACAAGAAATAGAAATCATTTAACCTGTTCAGTGACACCAAGATTATGAAGCTACATGTTTAATGTAACGTAATGGTCTAAAAATACACAAAACGTAACTATTCACAATAACTTTTCGATGCAGTTTAGTATGCAAGTACGATTTCATGCATTCCAGTTCAAGTCATGTAGTGTGAAGACTAATGACAGTACCCAGCTATCCAAACTTAAATAGGTGGGACGAGGTTTGAAAGTGATTGTTTCAAAAACTGCTTTGCTCCTTTGTCATTTATATACAATAAAGAAGTGTTGAAAAATTGAGAATATAAATACAAATGACAGAATCACATAATCTTGTCCTCACTTTCTGTTCTGTAACTAAAAAGAACGGATGTTTAAGAACGCTATCTTCATTAGCACTTGATAGACTATTTCACTAATTAGGGTTATATTCAGATTAAAAACTTATATCAGAGGTAGTAATCCATACTATAATTCTCAACGAATACTCTAAAGTATGACCACTTTTTATTACTGTTGAACGTAACAAATCAGTATGCATCACGTTGTCGTCTAAAGGTCACATTTTCAAAGCAAACAAACGAGAGTGAATTATGGTTATATAAGGTGAATACTTTATTAACCCAGAAAAATTTATAATCCAAATTCAAACTTTGATTTTACGATATGAGTAATAAAAAAGATATCATCAGTAATACTTACTCATGTTGTGAAACAATCAACTGCCAATGAAGCATTTCAACACGGACAGTTAGAAACACGTCAGCATTATGAAGTTGGCTGATAAATTGTGTGAATTCACGAACTTTTGTATAGGCATGTTTTCGATATGCAGCAACTAAAAACTCCTCCGCTTCCGTGACCATACTGTTGGAAAGTGTTATAATCTTCTGATAAAGACTATGTATAGAACTACTATCGTCAACTTGTGACTGTGTAGCCACTATACTTGTACACATGGCCAATGATGGAGAGGGTTTTACAATTAAATGCCTACAATAATAATGACGGTATTAAAAGTAGTTTTACACTTCCAGTCAAAAATAATAATAATTGCTTTGTTCAGTGCAGAGAAAACTTACATTCGTTTGTGGAACGTTAGATCACGCATGTCACATTGGTAAACTCATAAAAAAAGTGAATACTTGTCGGTAGATACATAAATATGAAGAATTAACACTAGAAAATCAATCACCATCGAAGCAGAACCTAGCACGATTGTATAACGGTTTGAGTTGCTACACTTCACACCCGGACAACAAAAAGAGAAACTAACATATTGAAGACAGAAATCTTCAAATGGAATGAATATCAAAGTATGAGAAATCCACCTGTAGCTCCTCTAGAGTTACTGCCGGTCCCAAGCCCGCGTAAAGGAGGAAGGTTGGGCATGGGGTTAGCGACCCGATCTCGTAGAAAACTAACTCGCTAAAAGACGCTAACCAGAAAAAATAATCCAAACCGTTAAAACTCTGCCCTGGAAGTTAGGTCTTTATTTAGAAGAACTATAACGCCTCATGGCGAAAGCTGAACTCCTTCGGAAGCCACGAGGCCGATGCCCCTTCTAGCGACCAGAGAAACAATTTTTATAGGTACATGGAACGTCTAGACAATGTGGGAGACTAGGAAGACTAGTCAAATAGCAAGGGAAATGAGGAGATGCAACTTGGCAGTACCGATAATCAGCGGAACCCATTGGACCCACGCTGGACAGAAAAGGATAGATACGGGAGATACTGCTATACTCCAGTCACGAAGAGGAAAATGCTCCACACACTCAGGGAGTTGCTCTAATACTGTCCAAAGTAGCACAAAATGCACTTGTAGGATGGAAATCTCACCGTTCCAGAATCATCAAAGGATCATTCAAAACAAAGGAGGGGATCACAATCAATATTATCCAATGTTATGCACCCGCCAATGATAGCAACAACGACATTAAAAATCAATTCTATGAGCGACTGCAATCAATCATAGAGAAATGCTAAAGAAAGGACCTCACCATTCTGATGGGAGATCTAAATGCCAAAGTCGGAATAGACAACATCGGATATGAAGATATCATGGGACGACATGGACTGGGAGAGAGAAACAGAAATGGAGAAAGATCTGCAAATCTATATGCATTTAACAAATCGGTCATAGGCGGTAAAATATTTCCACACAAAAGTATACACAAAGCTATATGGATCTCAACGGACCACACAGAGAACCAGATAGATCACATTCGCATCAATAAAAAATACCGAAAGACAATGGAAGATGTGAGAACCAGGAGAGGAGCTGCCATAGCTTTAGATCAAATCCTAGATAAGGCCAATTTAAAACTGAAGCTAAAGAACTGGACAAACAGTACTACAAAGGTTCAATACAGCCTTCCTTCGAGATACTAACAGAATCAACGAATTCAAGGTAGCTCTCAGCAAGGGGTTACAAGCCTTACGGGATATACTGAAGGAAGAAGAAACTACTATGGAAGACAACTGGAAAGGTATCAAAGAAGTAAAAACTTCAACGTGTCAAGAGGTTCTGGGCCTAAAGAAGCATCATCATAAGGAATGCATCTCTATAGAAACACTGGATAAGATCAAAGAAAGGAAGAACAAGAAAACAGCACTTAACAACAGCCGAACACGAGCAGCCAAAGTGAAGGCACAAACTGAGTACACAGAAGCAAACAAGCAAGTGAAGAAGAGCATTAAAGCCGACAAGCAGAAATACGTGGAAGAACCAACAACGACGGTGGAAAAAGCTTCAAGAGAAGGAAATATGAAACAGCTTTACGATACAACGAAGAAACGAGCAGGGACATATAGTAAACCAGAGAGACCGGTCAAAGATAAAGAAGGTAGGCCGACTACTGAAATTCAACAACAGCGGAACAGACGGGTAGAGTAGTTCGAGGAACTCCTATATAGGTCGGCTCCAATGGATCCACCGGACATCGAAGCAGCACACACAGATCTTCCTACAGATGTCGATCCACCAACGACGGAAGAAATCAGAATGGCCATCACACAAAGAGGGAAAGCAGAAGGATCCGACAATATACCAGCTGAAACACTGAAGTCAGACATGGAAGTAACTACAAACATGCTTCAGCCTCTATTCAAGATTTGGGAGGAACAAGTGCCGATGAACTGGAAAGAAGGATACCTCGTCAACATATCAAAGTAAGAAGATCCCAGCGAGTGTGAGGACTAAAGAGGTGTCACACTACTGTTGGTATCGAGAAACGTTTTCAAGTGTTGCTGAACAGAATGAAAGACGCAGTAGACACCCAGCTTCAAGATCAACAGGGCGAATTCCGTAAGTACCAGTCGTGTACAGACCGAATCGCGACACTATGGATCATTTTTGAGCAATCAGTTGAATGGGATTCGTTACCATACATCAACTTTCTTCGACTATGAGAAAGTGTTTGACAGTGTGGATAGAAGGACCTTATGGAACCTTCTTATATACTATAGTGTGCCTGAGAAGATTTTCAGCATCATACGGAATTCATGAGACGGACCACACCGTAAAGTCGTGAATGGGGGTCAGCTGACAGACGTATTCCGAGTGAAGACTAGTGTCAGGCAAGCCTGCTTACTCTATCCCTCTTTCTTCTAGTGGTTGACTGGATTATCAAGACTTCGACATCTCAGGGAAAGCACAGAATACAATGGAGAGCTTGGATACAAACAGACGATTTGAACTGCCAGACAACCAAGTCACAATCTTCAATACGAATATCAAGACAGTTCTACTGTACGGAGCTGAGACTTGGAGAACTACTACAACTATCATCAAGAAAGTACAAGTATTTATAAACAGCTGTCTAAGCAAGATATTGAATGTCCGTTGGCCGGATACCATCAGCAACAGTCTACTGTGGGAGAGAACAGACAAGTTTCCAGCTGGAGAGAAAATTAGCAAAAGACGCTGGAAGTGGATAGGACATAAATTACGGAAATCATCAAACTGGATCACAAAGCAAGCGCTAACTTCAAATCCTAAAGGGAAACGTTAAATGGGAAGGCCAAAGAACACATTGCGACGAGAATTGGAAGGAGACATAAAAAAGATGAATAGCAACTAGAAAGAATTCCCCAGGACAGATTTCGATGCTCCTCCACGATGGGTAACAGGTGTAAGTAAGTAGGTTTCCTAGAACAGATATTCAGCCATTCGACGTCACCATTTAAAAAAAAACGATTATATTCACCAGCAGTTTCATAACTAATAAGCTGTCGTTGCAAAAAAAGCTATATTTAAAACCATGAATTCAAATCTACTTAACATATACAATATTTAAACTATAGAAGACTTGCTTACCCTAGTGAAAGGAACAGCAACTGCTTGATTTCAAGTTTGTCTAACTGGGGCAATATAAGTTCAGGACAATTAAGAAAATCTGAAGAGTACAAATTACACAATTTTATGCGCAAATGGTGATTAAGATTTGTATGTTCTAATCCGATTATATAAATCCAGTAAAGAGAAAGAAGTCCAGTCCCAAGAGAGAAGGAACACTCATAAGCCGGAGAGGATGTTTCCAAAAGCGAGGATAAAGATAATAGCAAAAATCCATCAACTGGGTAAAGGTCACTAGGTGTTGTTTCATTATTAACAGCAACATCTTTTAACTTCTTTAGTAGAACTTCACTACGATCTGGGGCATATCCAAAGTAGTAACGAAGTAATGACTGTAAAGAAGCTCCTTGATTATTAGCACGTGCTATCTGGTGAGCGCACAGATGACGATAAATAGTCTTATCTTCTTTGTTTGTCTGTAAAAAGTGATAAATATTGACAATTATAAGTGGTGACTCAGAAATCTCAATGGCGCAAATGCAATCATTCTTTGTCTTTCGTTACATCCTGAACACCAAAATCTTATACTTTTTCTACACCTACTATTGTATACTACTACCGATACTGTTACCAATTCCACTACTCTGTGATTCGTCATAATGTTTTCATCTCGCTGTGCTTATGTTGGATATGACTAACTGATTGTTATAAGTGGTCAGACTCAAGTAGATATAATGGATGACAAAAGAACTTCAATCAAGTAGCAAAATTCTGGCATAAAGCAAATATGACTACAAAACGAATAAAAACATACGAAAGAATCTAATCTACTTTTGGTACAACTCGTGTCATGGTAAATACACTGTGATACGTTTGTCACGAAATAATATTAGTTTAATGCATTTAAAGTGTTGTGATTAGGCTCTATGATACATCATTGTGACGTAAAACATAAAACCCTGGTACAAATAAGAGGTATTTGATGCACGACATTAAAAAGAACCTCCAGAATGCTACAGACATTCAATAGTAACGAAAAGAATAAGAAACATTTAAAATCTTGTGTAGTCCATGAAGATGAACTAATCCACGAAAATTCAAGTTGCTTTATTAAATGGGATGTGGATAGTTGGGAAAGAAGTAGCATAATATTAGTATGCAATGACATGTACAATAATGATGTAAGACTAAAAATGACTTACGAAGTTCAGATCAGTCTCAGCAACCTCCATAACAAAATTAATATACTGTTGAGAGCAAAAAAAAGATAAATGTGACAATATTAAGTCATTAATGCCTTAAAATTCAACGATCAACATCAACACATCAATTAGAATTTTTCGTATAAAACATAACAAAAACCGCAATACAGAACATGACATTTAGAAGTAGCAGTAATAGAAATACATACTATAATTGATTTAACTAAATTATCACGTACATTATTTGAGGGTAGTTTATAATAAAATACTTCTGTTGTGACAACAGTGACAGATAAGTATGTCTAAGAATATGTACTTGACTGTTAATTCTGGTTTATAAATGAACAGGCCAGAATTAACATCCATTGAGACGTCCACTGTATGCAATCACTGCAGATAAACCATCTGATTCAGGAAAATACAAGTTTTGTCCTGGTGTGATGTCTTCGGTTGTTGTCTTTAATTGTATAGTGCTGATACATCTATCGGATCCATGATTCATTTGTTTAATTATAGCATTTGGTCATTGACTACATGAACCGATGTCGTCAATGTGGACTTAGTTAATTGGTCATAAATTCCTCTGTATACTTGACCATTTAAATTTTTCCTCGATAGTAAATAAATATCCTTACAATCACTTCTTACAAAATATCGCAATTGTAATGCTTCTCTGTACCTCCTACTATGTTAACGACGATTTAGTTAAAGTTGTAACCACTTACTAACTCCAGTAATTTGGTACAGATCCCTTTTTACATTTTTGCGGTTTACAGTTGCTTCTTATTTTCCTAATGAGTTAAAATCTCTTAAAGCACATAGTTTAATGTCAGATTGGAGAATGCTGCTCTTGACTTACAACACACAACGAGAAATTCAATTCCCTAAATTCCAAAAGCAAGTATACGACTAGAGAAACAAACTTTTAAACCGCTCCTAACTGACCGCCATCACGAATGAGTGCAAGTAAACGGATTCAGCAAATCAGAAAACCTGTTTTTGACTGCAATTTTACTAAAAACCACTGAATGTTCTTTCAATTTTAGCATCGTAAAGAAAATAAAGACCAGGAACAAGTAAAATATAGAAGATTTAGGACAATGATGAACAAGTCAGTAAGAAATCTTATAATGTACTGGTTGCATCATACACACAAAATAAATCTGTTTGAGTGCTTGACTAACCGGGCTGCTTAGAAAAAACAATAAAATGATACTACAAGAGCAAAAAATATAACGAAGGAAATCAGAGGATTTACCTTGATTTGATCATCCACATTTGGTAAAACCATACGTAAAAGGTAAGCCAAATCCATAGAACATATGGGCTTATGAGAGAATGTATTAAAGTAATCCTCCAAGAATGTCAATGGATTATGATTATAAACAAGATGCATTCCCAACTGTAACAGGTTCGCATACATATCCAAACGCGCCAATTGCGGACCACGACTATAAGGATGATTCGTTATGGCGATGTCGATTAACGACATAACTTTTTCTACACTATTTTATGGAAAAAAAATTGGCTGCTCATTTATCTTCTATTAAACTAATAGTAAATGAGTACCAAACAGTGTTTAAAACAAATCGAAGTAAAAAACGGTTGCAAGCTCATTCAACGTCTAATGTAACAGAAACGGCAAATGCAGAGACGTGTTGAACGTTGATTAGCACCAATTAACAGAATCCATCCGTAAACAGTAGCTAGAATAAAGGTTACTACACAAATGGTCTTAAACACTATTGGTGCATATAACTAAATACCCCGGGGCAATTTCCTGTTTCTCGAATATAAAAAAGATATCTGATAAATTTGTTTCTAAACTGTCAGATGCAAATAACCCATGACCACATGTCATATGCTAAGCTAATAGGGGGAAGAATAATGAAGAGATTACAATGTATTAAACAGGTTTTTTTAAAAATAAAGTGGAAACCAAATTACGTATTGTAACTCGGGCTTACTTAAAATGCACAAAACCTAATATAAATTACTGCTATAGATTGTTATTTATTTTATTTAAAATACAAAGAATAACGAAACGATAGAACTCTAAGCACATATTGATTGCACATCGGGATCAGTCGTCACTAGAGTACAATTTCGCGCAAATATGTATTACATGTTTATATACTTTTAGTGAACTGACAGATCCATCACTGTATGAGTTAAAACACTGGTTTGAACCTACATACTTCTGAATAGTACACTGAGTAAACGAAGCGGAATCGGAGTGGGACTGGCTTCAAATTACATTCCGATGTCTATGATCATTGGCCCCAAAAAGAATAAGTTTCTTCAGTGTATAAAATATAGACCTAATTTCGGTTGCTCACTTACATTGAGATTCTTTTCACAACTTATTTCCCTTACTACTTTCTTTTCTCCAAAGTGTTGCTACATGAACAGATATTTGTCAGCAACAAGTTTCAGGTCGTTTATTAAAGACCGTATACATACCCAGAAAGATATTGAAAGGACCTTTACAAGTGTGATTTTCGAACAATTACAACTTAATCGTATTCTGAAGAATTTACTGCATACATTCACAGTTGATCCAGGAGACAATCCTGATAAGAAAAGGACGTAAGCATGAGTAAGCAGATGAATCATCTCTTTAAGCTAACTCTAATCCATCACATTGTGATTAATGTAGGTTTTATGGGATACTTTTAGTGGGGAATATACTATGTACTTGACTGAAGCAAGGGGGGACACATGGAATTTGGTAGCAGAATAATTCTTGTTGTGCTACGGTAAGACGTACAAAAAGAATACAGGTTAGTGAAATTTAGATCTCTTTTGGAAATATTACCAATTTGAAGATTTGGTGAAGCCGGAGTCTATTGGTACTGAACCCAAAAGTCACAACCTGGACCACAACAATTAAGTTTAAAAGCAAAATGGAACAAACTTGATTAAGACTGTATTGACCACACCAACAAGATATAATGCGTGATGTATTTTGATTACGAAGCGATAAAAACAAAATTATTAACGCATTACCGCTGCATGTCTTTTAAAGACGTCTCAATTAGTTTTTTCCATGGTGTCCAGTCGTCTGGGTTGATTTGTGTTTGGGATTTCGCCAACTCATAAAGATCATCCCATATGTCCAAATGAGCTAACAAACTGAGCTTCATCGAAGAGTAATCGCAAATGTAGTCCTCGTTATCTATACGATCTATTGGAATGATTGATATTATCTCAGTATAGTGCCTTTTTACCTGTAATGTCTTTTCGACAAAGAAGTTTGTAAGCTTCTTCATGCTTTTGAAGGCGAGCAAGTAATTCTATTAACAACTGAAGCTCAGAATGTCTAGACATTTTTCCGTTCTCGGCTTCCCTGATTAGCATCTTCTCCGCCAGCGGCAAATACATGCGATGTCCCATTATAGGATTTGACTCGGCTTGCATTATTGTGCTCATTATAACCCAGTAGTTGAACGCACTTGACGGGAATTTTTGTAAAAGAAGCCTAGCAGTTGCTTGTTGTGCAGAAAAGTTCCTTTCCTGAACATGATGAAGGAATAAACAGACCAACAAATCTTCTCTGTTAGGTGACTTTTCAAGAGATCGTTTTAAGAACTCAGCTATTTTTTCGCCCTGTCCAGTTTTTCGGAAATAACACATGATGACATTAAGTGTAGACTCATCAGTGGGGTATGACTTAATGAGTTCGTCAGCTAGCAGATTGGCTTCAGTAATTTTCCCAGATCTATGGAGTGTAAGTGCTTTAAGTGCCTATTAGAAATCTCGTAGGACAAATAAGAAGTTATCAAACCTTTGCTGACGTGCAATTTGGTGTTTTTTTAAGAATTTTATTTGCCTCTTGGAGTGCCTTTTTATAATTGCCACTTTCGAAAGGTTCTGTAGTACTTTTATTTTTATCCAATCTGCTGATATAGAAGACATACCGACTATCGACCTCAACCGAGACTCCTGGAAATCCAAACCAACCGACATTCCGAAGAGACAGCTTTGAACCACGCGGCACTGAAAAGCTTGAACAAACGCATTATTTGTAGTGGTAGATAAATGCCCCCCTAAAAAAGGTTCTGTTAGTCTTCAGTACTATTGCTGACTAGTTCGCTTACTAGTTTCAGTGAAAATACTTTGGCATCTTCATCAGATCACAATTGGTTATGTTGTGCTACTCATTTCTCGCAACAGTTAGTCAGCTTAGTTCACGTATTTTCAGGCAAGTCAAATATCTTCCAAATGTATCTTCGAATCTCATCATTACTGACCCGTTAAATGACCAGTTTTTGGGTCTTCAATTAAAAAGATGTTGAGGACAACCATTGATATCCGTGATATCTTTATGTTATAACCATAAGGGGAAAAACGTTGGCTTTCCTGTCTAGGATTAATAACCCAGTTATGTTTAATCCGGAAAATTATTGATAAGGAAGGATTATGTCATTAAATCAAAGGAGAATTGTGATGAAAGATTCGAAATACAGATCAGTCCTTTTAATCTTCATATGTGTAGATGTCATGACAAGATAAATCGAATGAACAACTCGAGCAAATCACTGAACAACGTCAGTTGAATTTCACGGGACTATGCAGTCAAAACTTTCGGACATTTCTGAAGTCTTAAATAGAGTAGACGATGTGGCGGTAAATAAATCTCCAAAATAGATAGCTCTGTAAGTCTTCAATATTGGATGCCGACCACATTAGTTTTGATGGACTCACCTAGCTGAAGGCGCTCGGTCATGTATACTCACCAGTTCACGAGTGAGAACGCCGTGCTCAACACCCCCTGGAATCGCTAGCAAGTCTAGACCAGTCGATTCTTGATATAGTGAAAATTCCTATTTTGCCATTTGGTAAATAAGGAAGGGACGAATTGAGAGGAGAAATTTCTTTTCATTTCTTGATATATTGATAGCCTATCAAATATATCTGCGAACCTCCCTGATTCCGTCTTTTGCTTTCACTTGGTGGATACGGCTCATATTGGAAGGTGATACTGGTTAAAACATTGTCAAATTCAAAATACTTGTGGCATCTTCAAAGACAAGGTGCTATGCCCCAATAAAATTTCTATTGGTACTGGTTGGTGACTAATTTAGTTGCTGCACGATAACATTTCGGTTGAATCACTTTTGTCAGTCTAGATGACCATGGCTATAGAACCTAAACGTTCTGTTATCAGACTGCTGTTTACTCACAACCTACCGAAAAGTGCTCCGAATTCATAACTCACAACAGCCTATGAATTAACTAGCTGAAGTCGTTCCCCATACACATTTTACGGCAGCCCAGCCATAAGACGTTCACTCTATCCACCAGAAGTTTCGGTTACTAACGTCAGACGTTCACTTCAGCATAAGCTCGAATATAGTATCCCCCTTTACTAATACCATCTTCCTAACCTGTCGAAGTAGTACATTTGATCACGCCTCTCAAAGGAATTTAACATCAGTATCTGACTACATCAGTCGTATGCTATGGAGTATACCATCATTTGATTCCTCTCCGAAACAACAAGGAGTCTAGACCATGGACTGTCACAAATAGTCTTCGGTGAGTGACACTGAACCGTAATCGAATGACTGATCACGTAAAATGTGTCGCTAGCTTAAAGAACTAATCAGAGAACGCTGAGTGCTGAAGGTCATGGATCGCTAACGCGGTTTTATTATGTACTACAGGTTCGTCATAATCTGTGTAACGTAACCCACTTTAATATGTTTTCTCAAAATATCATATTTCTAATGGGCGTTTACCCATTCTTTAAACCTTTTTAAGTGATAAAGGGTAGGATAAATTTACCAATCCTGTTGTCTGAATTATTACTATTCACAAACAGCTTATTGGTGTATAAGTGTTGTTAAGAAACTATTTCGAGTTTTTTTGGAAATGCAGTTGTACACAAGTTTCAATAATGTTTGCAGAATATTCGTCATATCTAAACAAATTCTATAGAATTTGGAAGAATATTAAGCTGACTTCAAAGAAAGAAAAGATGAAAAACGTGAAGGAGAGAAATGTTCAATACATAAATAATTTACCAAGCATATTAGTGAAAACAGAATAAGAATAAACGGTGATATGAGTATTACCAAAAGAAACAATAAATAAATAAATGAGAAAATCAGTCGTTGATGTAGTGTGGTTTGATGGTGGAATAAGTGTTTGTGTAGTAATAGTTAGGAATAATGCCATAAAAATCCTAACTAATTGCAAATGGTGATCAAATTCAATTTGGTATGGTGAGGATAAGTTAGTTCGTCCCAGTGTAAAATTTGTGCGGTTATTGAGAAACAATGGAAAATATTTTCGACACTCTGTCGAAGCTAGTATCCTCATGGCATGGTCTGTATATACACCCCACCGGTAGATAATGTTTCCGATCAAAATCCATAGTATCCAAGTGGAGTCATATATAGCAGCAAGACATCCATTCTAAAATGTTTGAAGGGGCATAAAGAATTTTACCTCTCCCTATTCCATGGCATCTATTGGATCGAGGGAAAATGTCGTTTAAAGAGTCATAGGACATGGATGATTTGCATTACGTTTCTGTAATAAGTACAATGATTGGGTTTACAGGGAGTAAAATGGTTTTAAAACGGCTAATTTTATTGGAGGGAGAGGGCATTGGATGAGAGAATAAAAAGCCGGGAGGTATTATCGAGAAGCTGGTTAGAGAATGGATTATGGGCAGTAGCTCCGTGAATATCCATGAGATTAACTAAGGTAAGGGTTTTGTTGTGAGGAGGACTAGATTCAGAAACGTTTTTATCATTTGTAATGTACTTACTGTTTTCAGCAGAGAAGCCAGTGGAAGTGCACAAAAGTTCTCCTGATTATTATCGACACATCTTGGGAGCAGAACCAATAAGATTATCAGGTTTATTTATGAGACCAAGTAACCATTTATACTTGATGGATGTGTAACATGTTCCAGACGTTTGTTTCCAAGGTTTGTGACTGCTTTTAGCTCCCATGTAATTTACAGAGAATCGGGTGTTAATTGGGTTTAAATATATCAATGTCTAGTGCGTGGTCTGTGTTAGTTATGGACATAACCAACCAATCAAGTCGTTACTTAGGCGCCCACCACGTCAATTTGGCCCGACGTGTCTGTAGACTATCCCTGTTGCATGTGACCTGTCAATTAAAAGACATTATTATCCTATTATAATAGCCTGACTTACAATTTTCATTCATTTCTATATGATACGCTCTACTGGCCGGTATGTTTCTGCGTCCCACCTTACTAATGCAATTCTTTTTTTATTTTACTAATCCAGTTTTTCTTATGTTTAGGAGCGGATAAAGTTTAAATTCAATATGTTTTTTATTCTGACCGTAGTTTCCACATAGACTATGGTGTCCCTAGTATCGCGTTTACAGTTCTAATCGATTATCTGTAGGACAACTTAAACCACACAGTCAGTTATACAATATCTACAGATATTTTCCCCCTTAGTCGTTTCACATTTACTGCAATGACGGGAATTTTAACTTTATTATCTGATTCATAGTCAGCACAACTGTTCATCGTCAGATCTATATCGACATTTTTAGAGGAATGAACGTCATTTGGATTGAAGTTACTTTATTCTAGGTTCTGAATTTTAAGAGATTCAAGAGAGTCTATTGATGGTGTCCTAACTAAAAACTGGGATGTTTTTTCAGAACCGGACCTAATTTTATGACATTTGGGATCAGGAAGCGTTTGAGACATTGATGTTAGTGCTTTTGCTGCTTTTTGCTCCCATGGTGTTCTATGAGAAAGATTTTTAACATCCCTGAAAATCTTTTTTTCATGATGGTATTGGATAAAATTGGGAATCCACTGCGGTTTACAGATGTTTTGAATTTGAATAATATCGGTAAATACAAGCCAGGTTGACTTGTTTTCATTCTTGTGCATACACATTTTACATATTTCATGTTTCTGGTTGTAAGCGGCTTAGACCTAATAGTTTTAGAACATGTTCTTGGTATATGAAACACGATTACATTGCAGGATCTTCTTATTCTTTAAAACATCTCTGAAGCAACATGATCCAGGAAATTATTTATGTCGCCCATTTGATCTGGAATTTCTGCGAGGTTTGGGTTGACAAGATACTTAGGCGAATCAAAAATATTCACGTCATTTTGCTTATGTCATCCATATAGTTGCAGTTATCAATGTCATCATGGTTTACCAACAAAGTCTTTAACATATTTGGAATGGCGATAACTGGTATCAGCTTGTCTGTTTCCGGATGAGACGAGTAGCACGACTAGTTATATCCACCGTAAATCGTGTCGATAGAAGTGTTAGATTATGAACGTTTCATACATTTGGTTAGACGCCTGGAGTCAAAAGCTTTCTTTTTTGAGACGTAATTGAAAAGTGAGTAGTTGCAGATGGATTAAGGGAAGTGGTGAAATAAAAACAGGTGTGCAAAAATTAGGTTGGAGGAATTAAGATTATTCGGAAATCATGAACTGTGTTTAGGACAAGTTTGAGAGTATCGTGATCAGTAATAAAAGTGACGAATGGAAGGGGAAGAAGCGGCTGGAAGATCATAGTAATGACGTATTATGTAGGTATACGTTTGAATGTAAAATAGAAGAAATCTGTGAGCACTGGATAAATTTTACTCTCAAGATTACGCGGAAAGATCTGTTTCATTTAATACAGCAACCTATAACGGTCGATATTCGGTATCAAACGATCCTAAAGGGTGGTGTATATGGCATGTATATAAACTGAAAGCCTGCGCTAGTTAAAATTGTATAGTGCAGTGGTATGTAGATTTAAAGAGGATTAATTCCAACTAGAATTAATACTTCACTTTATGACCCAAATATGTGAAACGGTGTTCTCGGTTAAATTACAGACCAAAAACTATAACAGACTCACTGAATTGAACAAGCAACTACGAAAAAACAGAGTAATAGCATTCAAATAAAATTTAAACGATATTTTATTAAATAGCGTATGAAGTCTTGAGTGTAATGCCTCAGATATG